CGAAAGAGGGCTATTCTAATATCTGAACGCAACAGGCTTGCAAAATTACTTATTAATGAAACAGTCTTATGGGGACAGAATAATCCAGTGCCTTTGACATAATCCTCAGGGGGTAGCCAGCACTACCTGCATATAGATCAGCCCCGAATTGGATTCCCCTCGTGTTCATATTGCAGTCCCAACTGAATGTGTTTCTGTTCGGAAACCCCTTTTCGGAATTTCTTTGAATAGCCTGCAAGCTTCGGATCGCATGTCAAATTCTGAGGTCTGACTGTTTAACCTTTCAAAACTGTGATATCCAACTGTTTGACAGATTTGCTTAATTTGATTTGACCTCGAGTTTTTTTTTGCAATTGGGTCAACTCAAATTAAGCAAATTTGCCAAACCTCCTAATAATTAAGTCAGCCTAGTAGTCACAGATGATTGCTTAGGAAATCCTGCTTGGGCAGTCAGCTTACTGTTCCGTATTAGTGGATTCCATACGAGCGGTAAAGTTGGGCGGATAAAATAGATCCAAGTGTTATTAGACTCACGGTATAGGCGTGACATTTGTAACTCAATTGGTAGAGCATTGGCTTCGCGTAAAGGCCCTCCCTGCTATGCGGGCTCAAATCCCGCCGAATGCCGCGAGTTTTTTCACAATTGAGTCAACTCAAATATCGAACTGTCTCAACTATCGCGCAGTTAAGAATACCATAAGGGGACTTAGTATTAAGGATCCGTCGCAACATGTCCCTCAGTCGACTTGTCCCATCAATTGACAATCTTCGGAACCCGTCGTGTTATTTCACAGAATCGACTGCAAAGGTATTTAAATTAGTGCATCTCATATACTCCTAGACTCAGTATTTCGTCTTACGGGAGCGGCGGTTATAGGGGTTTTGAGAACGGGGAAATAAGAAAGGCGGTAAAGGAAACCTGCAGAAGTAAGTGTAAAATGAAAAAATGTAGTTGAATTTATTTCCCGTGGCTGTTAGAAGTAAGGTGTTTCACATGTAAATGGAAGGCGTGCGCGGCGCTTCGCGCCGCGGACTCTACTAATCTAACTCCAGAACGGTAAGTTGGACCGCAAGTAAGTTGAGGTAGACGACTTCCTAACCACCATTTCTATTTTTTCAGGAATTTCAAGAAACCTGCATTTTGATAATCGGGTTTTTCTACAATATGTTAAACGATAATACAGAAATACTTAATACAAACATTTCTAAGTATGTACAGTAAAATAAAAATGCGCATAGTTGCTTTTAAAGTATATTCTACGGCCTATCCCAATTCCCGACCCATAAAACCCATATAAACACCGTTTCCGTTGGACAAAATGCTGGGACTAGGGCTAAATGAGGGGCACTACTCAAACCACTGTTGCCGGATCGCCTTCACATTCCCATTTCTTGTGCCCTAGCATCCTGTCGTCTGGTGCAGATTCGCTGCTGCCCGATAAGAGCAGGCTGTGCGTTCACGGAACCCCCACCATGGTTCAATGCACGCTGCTTTTAGGAGAGAGAGAGGTTGGGGCAATTTCTATTTCAGACTGTATGGTAGCCTTGTTGGAGCTTTCGGGCTGATGGCTTAAGCACTCACCTTCGTCAGTACCTTTGCAGTTGTGGGTGCCTCTTGAGCTGGACATTACTCTGCTGTTTATGCTTCATGTTGACTTTTGCGTACAGAAGACTCACTGGAGGCGTGTCTGAATGGCCTTCATATTCATTTTTCGCTTCTTCTTCTTCTTTAGGAAGTCCCGCTCGTCACCTGGCTGCCCTGGAAGACCTGGCTAAACAACAGTGCAGTGGCGAGTCCAGTCTTCAGAATGCCCTCATGCTGGCGGAATCTCGGCTAAAGTAACGCAGACTCTGAGACCTTCTGGCTTTATGCGTTCTTTATGCCATTATCCATCGGTCAGACAAAGCCATCCTATGCTTAGTATGCCCTTTTGATGTTTACTGTAAATATCAGCTGTCGTTGCTGTTAGACCTTTTCAGTCTGTGTACCGAAAAATGGCCGC